CAAGGAACAAGAAAAAGAGGAGATGAGGACTCCAGGGCCAGCCACACAACCACAGAGCCAGCCACAGAGTAAGAAGGGAAGAAAGATACAGAAAGAAAGGTAAAAATCCCACAGGCAAAATGTAGTTGAAGAGAAAAGCGATCATTTAAGTTAGAAAAGTTGTCTAGAAACAAGCCAAGCTAAGGCAGGGTACTCAGAAGTAAGAATAAGTCTCCATGTATTATTTGAGAGCTGGGCCTCCAAAGACTTAAAAAAAAAAAAAACTACAAAGTGGATTTTTTTAACTTTTTAATTAAATGAAGATTACAATTTGCCACCTGCTGTTTGGAGTATACTATCTATTATTAGTTTCTGATGTCTTCTCTCCAGTAACTCAAGTCCAAAAGCTAGCATCCCTAAAGAGCTCACAAATGCACACAAAAATGAGCCAAAGGAAGTAACTTGTCTTATATTCGTCTGTGTGCCACTCAGACATTAAAAAAAAAAAAAGGTAGGAACAAATTACTGTATTTTCACTTTATATAAATAACGCAAATAAAACACTCAGTGTTTCCATTTCAGCCCTTTAAAGCAAGTGAGTATCTTACGGTCACTACATTTGTGCAAAGCTTTAAGGCAATGCAGCCTAGGATAATAACTAGGAGTGTCTTTGACTCTCAAAGACCTTGTAAACTCGCTGCAGTGAAAAGCTCATGCCATGAGTTAATTGCTGATATGTCATCTACTGGTGAGAGGGATCTTAAAAGCTCCCCCTCGAGGCATCTTACAATACTTCCTGAGGACCAGGAAGTATTAGTCTGGCTTTCCACCGTGATAAAATTCAACTTCATAGAGGACCGGATGCCTCTGCCTCACAGTTTTGTTCCGTGTTTAGCTTTGCGGATTGTTTGTGGTCTTGGTGAAACAGGACACCACGGAGAGGGGAATGTGGTACCTCCTGATGACAGGAGCAGAAACTGGGGACAGTCCCATGTACGGACTCCAACTAGGTGCCACTGCCTAAGTGCCTATCGCCTGCCAATGGGACCTGAGCTAGGAGTCCACCAATGATTTAATGCACTGCATGGGGTCACAGTCCTCAGGGCAGCCAAAGCTGAAGACTCCGGGGACATTTCAGATGCAACCCACAGTGTGAACTATTCTTTGGCTTGTAGCAAATACCATATCCAAAATGTATTTCAGACATCAGGTGAGTCAAGATTATATAAATCTGAATTCCAAAATATTTTCTAGAAGACTCTCATTCACCACTCATACATGACTCTAACATATAAATATTGTATCAGAATGATGGATGTCTGTTTTGTGAATTCTTTGATGAAATCAACTAATGGACCTTACAAAGTCTTGTTCATTTTCTTAAAGTTTAGATTTATTTAAACATAAATTTAACCATCTGTCTCAAGGCTGGACTCATTCCAAGCTGCTTTTCATGATTAAAGTATCCTAAAGAAATAACTCAAGGATCTAATCAATTTTAATTGGCTATAAAAAAAAAAATCACAGAACTATTCATAATGCATGAAGAGGCAATTTAAGAAAAATCTACTTCCCAATTACAGAAAAGTTTCCTTTTGAATGAGATCTGAAGCTATTGCCCAGCCATATTCGGTCTGCATAAAGGATAAGGGATGATTGTGGACATACCAATTCATGAGCACTCTTTTTCATACCTCAGATAGAATGGATAATTGGGAAGAGGAGCCGTTTCCCTATTCGTATAATAAAAGAGAGCAATGAGATCCTTCCAGTCTTTCTAAACTGACAGTGCTGGACTTGTGTGATGTGACTCTGTCCTTTCCTTTACCAGGGTGGGAGATAGAGCAGAAACATTCATGCTTACACTCATACAAGAGAAGGCTTCACAAACACTAGCATGAATATTTTTGAGACTTGGTAAATACAAAACTCTAGAGTAATTCTAGCCACACAGTCAATTAGTTAGGCTGCAACTGAATACATAATTAGTAAGCAATTTGTTTAAACATCTTTTCTCATTCTTTAATATATCCTCAAGTAAACAATAAAACTTCCAACAAAACCATATTTAAGTTCACTTTATTTAATACCATCTGTTTCAATATGGTTTACTTACATTTTGTGAAATTAGCATTCATGACATTTATTCTTAAAACTATTTTTTAGGGCTGGACAGACAGCTCAGTGATTAAATGGCTCTTTTAAGGGACTCAGGTAGGGTTCCCAACACGCAGTGGCTCACAACCACCTCTGACTCCAGTCACAGGGAATCTGATGCCCTTGAACCCTGGGAGCACCAGATGCACAGATACCTATACACAGGCAAAACACTCATACACATAATATAAAATAGTAAAGCCAACTTTAATTGGTGATGGGAGATGTCATTCTGTATATGTTTCTCATACTGGTTAATAAATAAAGCACTGTTGGCCAATAGGAAAGCAAGATAGGCGGGACTAGGAGACAAGGAGGAAGAGGAAGTAGGAAGGAGGGACAAAGATGGAGAGTCTGGAGAGAGCCGTATGCGGCAGCCAGCTCCTGGTAAGAAGAACACGTGGAAATACATAGATTAACACAAATGGGTTAATACTTAAGACAGAGCTAGCCCATAAGAAAGTGGTAACTGGCCAACAGTATAATATCTAATACAGAGTCTCTGTGTATTATTTGGGGCTGGCGCGGCGGCGGGACAAGACTGGCGGCGGGAGGAAAAACCCATACTCCTTAGAAATTGGTGCTTAGGTATGATACATCTAGAATTGTAAGTGCCTGAACATAATAACACAGGTGAAACTGGTGTGTATTTTTATAGTATGAACGTATGGGGAAAACAGTGAGTTCAAAATATTTGAGGACAGACAGACAATTCTGAACACTAATGAGAGAAGGGCACGTGGGTTACTAAGCATCTAGAAATTAGAGTAAAGTGCTTTTGTCATCCATCTTCACTAACGAAGTTATATTCAACTCTTGATCTTCATTAGGAGAAGCAAAACTAACCAGACCACAGTCACTGAAATCACATGGTTCTGGTTTCAACCAGTCTCCCATCAAGAACTTAAAGTCTGCAAACCTGTGTCTGGGAGTTTTTCAGGGTTTAGGGCACAGCACTTAGCCTAGGTTCTACCTCAGCACAGGAAAAAGAGAAAGAAAAGAGAAAGGTGGAGAAAAGTAGGAAGGGACAGAGGAGTGGAGGGACCGAGGGACAGAGGTGGGGGGAGGGAGGGGGGAGCGAAGGAGGGAGGGAGGGAGGGAGGGAGGGCATTGTCTTCAGACATTCTCTCACTGCCCTGCTACTAGTGTTTTGCCAGGCTCAAAAACAATCAGCTAGACCAAATTTCTATAAGATAAGCATTAAGAACAAAAAACTATTTAAAACACCACAACATAGATTTTATGTCTAAACAATAACGCTGTGCATCATTGAAAACCGGTATCAAAGACTGGTGAGGGAATCTTTCCCACGCTGTCATTCTCTAGCAGGCATCAAAGTCACGTGAAAATAGAGGACGACTGAATTAAGGTGCTGTCGGCCAGGTCATCGGTGACTCTGGGCGGAGTCTCACACAGACGTTTATAATGCAATCAACAAACTGGAGGGGCATGGCCAAGGGAAAAGCAGTCAACGTTACAAAGTTAACCACGCAGACAGATGGAAAAGAGGAGTAGACAGGGGGCAGGAGGCGTGGCTCAGCATTTCAAAGAATGCTTTCGTTACCTAAAGTAATCTTTACAATAACAAAGGGTTAATGATTACTGATGTATATGAAACATGAAAAAAACCCTCCAAATTAACAAGGATGTGCCAATCTCGAAGTAGTTAGGGTGCATGGAAATACATAAAGTAAAAATAAAACTGTGGTCCAGATCTATTTTCTCTACACAGAGCTACTGAAATTGAGTAAGAACAGAGTAAAAAGTGGTGGGAATGGGATGGGAAGGGCAGTGAGGAAGAGACATGAAAGGGAGGTAAAGGGAAGGAGGGAGAGGAGGAGGACCAAGGAGGAGGGGGAGGGAGGGGGAGGAGGAGGGGAGGAGGGAGGGGGAGGAGGAGGGGGAGGAGGGAGTGGGGAGAGGAGGATGGGGAGGGGGAGGAGGGAGTGGGGAGAGGAGGATGGGGAGGAGGGGGAGGGAGGGGGAGGAGGACGGGGAGGGGGGAAGGAGGAGGATGGGGAGGGGGAGGGAGGAGGATGGGGAGGGGGAGGGAGGAGGATGGGGAGGGGGAGGGTGGCTCTTAGTATTACTTAGTCTAATGAGAATAGGAGCAATAGCTTCATTATTCAAATTAGAGCCGAGAAGAGGAGTTGTTCACCTCATTCTTTCCCACAGGACAGCAGCAGAACATATAACAAGATATATAAAATCTACTAGTAAAAGAGAAAGGTAAGAGTGAGTAAGATAGTTTCTAGTGAAGCTTTATTTACTAGGAAAGTAAGTTTAATAAATGAACCCTAAGTCATCACTGAACTTCCTGATTCGGTGCTTCTCTACAAAAGCCCAGTGCTTACAGAATCCTACATTAAACTATGTGAAGGCATAGCACATAACTAGATTTATGAATATCTATGTAAACTGAGAGAACAAACTACTCTTTTTCTACCTAAGACTTCATGAAAGTTTTAGGATGATAGTAATATGAAAATTAAACTATGATGACAGAGCTAAGCCATAAAATGATTTTTCTGTTTCAATACAACAAGAAAAAAGGCTTGAAAAGATTTCTAAACACACAGAACACTATTTTTCCCATTTAAAACTTTAATAAGTAATGGAATGCAAGAGAGATGTATATATTCCTTGCTTCCTTTTACAAACAGTGCATAACTGGTAATGTGAACAAATCAGAACCATCCTGAAGCTCTCGAAACACAAAAAGCATTTGCCACAGTTCAACAACCACTCTATTTTTATATACTTTGAGATTTCAGAATGTAGATTGCTCTAAATTAGATACAAAGACATGTATCAGCCAACCAGAACAGAAATCATCATAGTACACACTTCAAATGCTGTCATACCTTTGGCTAAGGCTTCTTTATATTTCTCTTTGGCAGAATTCATTTCTTTTATTAATTGTCGATAGCTGGATTTTAATTTCTCCAATTCTGTCTTTGTGACCTGTCAAAGAAACAATATGCAGGGGTTTTTTTTTTTTTTTTTTTGGTTGTTTGTTTGTTTGTTTTTAAGAGAGGGTTTCTCTGTAGCTTTGGAGCCTGTCCTGGAACTCTGTAGACCAGGCTGGCCTCAAACTCACAGAGATCCACCTGCCTCTGTCTCCCAAGTGTTGGGATTAAAGACATGCACCACCACTGCCTTGCCAATGCAGAAAAAATCTTAAGTGTTTTCATTTAACATTTTATATTCTAAAGTGTTTATATTTAACACTTTATATTCTAAAGTGGTCAACACTTTATATTATAAAGCATTAGTTGATGTATACTTTATGACCCATAGGTGACAACTAATCTTTACCCAAAAAAAGCCAATAAATTAAAAATCCATTTTAATATCCATTATAAATTCAATACACTACAAAAAGACAAATCAAGAATAACACAATACTAGGAGACAGAGACACAATCTCACAGTAAAGTCCCAGATCCTCTGACTCTTAGACTCTGTCCTCCCCATTTTCCACAATGAACCTTGAGCCTTTGGTTCAGGGGTATATAAGGACTCCCTGTGGCCCACATCCTCAGCATCATCTGTTGCTGTTTTCATGGCTACCCTTCTGACTGGGGTAATGTAATTTCTTTAACAGAGAAAATGTAGATGTATTAAGAAGAAGCAAAAAAAAAAAAAAAAAACCACGCCTAGGAGCAGGGAAGTCCATCTGACAGCGATCAGCCCTGAAAATACGTTCAAGTGGTATTATAAGGAACAGGTTATATTTGGGGATATGTATGTGTGTGTCTGTATGTATGAGGCTGCGTGCAGACAATAACAATCAAGGAATGCAGAAACCAAGAATTTGAAAGAGGGGTGGTGTGTCTGGGAGAGCTCAAAGAGAGGAAAGGCAGGGGAGAAACGCTGGAATCATACCATAATCTCAAATTGTTTAAAAAGTAGGAAAAAAACATAATAGCCACCTATAATCCAAAGGCTAAGAAATCAATTTTCAGTATGTAAAAATAGTATCTTTTCCTTTAAAATTAACTTTAATTTTTGGCAGCTATACATCTGACAACCTAATCAGTGAGTGGCCTGATAAAATGAGATGCATGGACAGTTAGCAAAGGGGAAGGACAAACAGCCAGTAAACACACAGAAATGTTCAGACACCAAAGGATCACAATCCAAATGACAAGAAGGACACTGCTCTACGCACCGCCCCCTGCTCTACGCACCGCCGCACAGCTGCTACAAGTGATTTTTGTTGTTGTTGTTGTTATTTAGCATCTCCGTAATAAGTCTACATTTCCTGATAAAGAAATTACACTGAGTTTCTACCTTACCTCAGTCAGAAAGGCAGTCATTAAGAAAGCTTCAGCAAATGATGCTTAGGATCAAATCACCCTGCACAGATGTAAAGGGGTACAGCAACTATGGAAGCCGGTCTGGAAACAACTACCATACAACTTAGTAACACCACTCACTCCTTGGCATATTCCCGAATGACTCTACATCCCACTACACAGCTACTTACACATGCATAGTAAGAGCAGTTAGAAAATAAAATTGGCCTAGGTGCCCATCAACTAATAAATGAATCATGAAAAACGTGGCACATACATAGAGTAGAATTTTATTGGGCTGTAACTAAAACTGTAATTATAAAATCTGCAGGAAAATTAATAGATCTGGGAAGTATTATACTGAGATAACCCAGACCCAGGACATCAAAGCAGAGCACAGGTCCAATTTCTTAGATTTGTTTTATTTAGACTGTCTGAAAAGATCAGGAAGCTCCATGCAAATCATGCGGAGGGGATATTTGGATGGGGACATAGTAGAATACATGAGATGAATGTAAAGAGAAGAAATATTACGTTAAAACAAGGTTTAAGGAAGGCTTATCAACAAGGATGGGGTGAAGGAATGAAGATGAGTACATGGTACATGAGTACACGTCCAGTGAAATCATACGGAAACCTACTACGTTATAAACTAACTAAAATACATTTCTTTAAAAAAAAAAAAAAAGAGTTTGAATGGAAGCACTTGCAAGGGTAGATAATGGGTAGAAGCCATAGGCTTTTCAACAAAATCCCAATAGCAGCTATGGAATACCTCCCTACCAGTAGTTGGCCACGACCACACCAAAAATCCCCAAAACAACACACGGTATTTCCACTTCTCCTAAATGGTACAATTCCCCTGCAAACGACACCACACACTTTGGTTATGGGACAACGGGAAACCACTGCTTAATTTTTGAAGCTGTTCATTATTTTGAGAACAAACTAATTTGAAAAAAAAAAATTATTTATTTGGCTTTTCCTATACATACTGTATTTTAGGGTATCCAAATAGTTGCAAAAAGATTCTCCTTTCTTCTTCTTCTTCCTCCCTCCTCCCTTCTCCCTCCTCCCTCCCCTTCTTCTTTTCCCCCTCCCTTCTCTGACTCTTCCCTCCTCCCTTCACCTCTCCCCCTTCTTCTTCTCCTCCTCCTTCTCCCTTCTCCTCCTCCTCCCTTCTCCTCCCCCTCCTCCCTCTCCCTTCTCCTCCTCCTCCCCCTCCTCCCTTCTCCTCCCCCTCCTCCTTCTCCCACTTCTCCTCCTCCTCCCCTTTCTTCTCCTCCTTCTCCTCCTCCCCCACCTCCTTCTCCTCCCTCTTCCTCTTCTTCAGTTTCTTTTTTTTCCCTTTGAGACAAGGTATTTCTACACAGTCCTGGCTGTCCTGGAAGTCACTGTGTTAAGAAGCAAACCTTGAACTCACAGAGATCCACCTTCCTCTGCCTCCCAAGTGCTAGGATTAAAGGTGAGTGCCACCGCAAAGCTCCCACACACACACAAACACACACACAGAAAAAATTCTACATGACAGAAACTGTTGTGTTAAATTGCATCAGGAAATAAAAGATATAAAGACTTCCCACTGTAGAAACACCAGGATGACATTAGCCCTTGGGGTTGGAGAGATGATTTAGTGGGGAAGTGCTTGCCATGGAGGCATGAGGACCTGAGCTCAGATCCCAGCACCCATGAAGAAGCCAGGATGGCAGCTTGTGCCTCCAGCCCTGGGAGGAGGGGCAGAGACAAAAGGGTCCCAGGCCAGCTAGTGTGTAAAACATGTAAGACCCTGTCTCAAAAGTCAAAGCAGAGAATAACTGAGTATACATGATAGCTATCTCTAGCTTACCTAAACACATGCACATACAAACACGCACATATAATATACACACAACACACAAACAACACATACCACACCACACACACACACACACACACTTGATCTGAGTAGGAAACATCAATCAGTAGTTTTTAAAGCCACTAGAGTTAAGGGAGGAATCTGACGGATAACACTGACAACTGTGGAACTAACTAGTTACAGTTTAATATCATAAGAAAATCAAGCATTATATACACCCTGATAAGAAACAATAGGAAAACTACACAACATTTACGATCTATTCTTAAACAAATTAAGCTTCTAGGCCTATCTGATTTCAAATCTATAAGAAAATAAGAAAAGTTAACTAAAGGGTGGGTTCCTATGGTGCTTATCAAAAATTTCGTAATTGAGCTGGTGTTGTGGTTTTAATCCCAGCACTTGGGGGCAGAGGCAGGCAGACCAGCCTACTCTACAGAGGGAGTTCCCAGCCAGCTAAGGTTACATAGTGAGACCCTATCTCACACAAACAAAAAGAATGAAATAAAAATTCAAAATTCAAGTAATTCAAATACATATAGCAAATTATCTAACTCCTTTAGTTAGTAAATGGTATTTTTCAAAATAAACAGAAAGACTGACCTAGAGACTAAAAGGCAATTATTCATATGCAACTCATATCTCAGGTTAGATTCTGACTAAAATAAACCAATAGAAACCACTGAACCTGCAAATATCTAAACATTGGGTATTGTAACATTAACTTCTGTCATTTTTAAGTGGAGTAATCAAAATGTTCTTATTTTCAAAAAGAATTCTTTTATTACCAATACACATTAAGATGTTTTTGGACAAAATGATATTTTGGGTTTCCTTTAAATGACCCAATCCTGGAGAAGGCAAGAGACTCCATCAAGCAAAAGGACAGTGGCTGTGACCAGTGACTGTAGGGGCAGCTAGAGGGGCCCTTCTGATGGGACAGTCAAAGCTCTGCAGTAGTGCTAACAAATTATCCGGAAGAGACAAACTCAGGGATACATTAAGTTAGTAATAATACAAGGAAATATATACATATTTAATTTTTACACAGGCTAAAAGCTATTTTTGTTTATTTGTTTGTTTGTTTTTGGAGACAGGGTTTCTCTGTGTGGCTTTGGAGCCTGTCCTGGCAGTCACTTTGTAGATCAGACTGGCCTCGAACTCACACAGGTCTGCCTGCCTCTGCCTCCCGAGTGCTGGGATTGAAGACATGCACCACCACCACCTGGGTATTTCTTTTTTATTTATTTTTTTTTAATTTATTTTATTTCATGTGTGTGTGTTGCTCCCATGTTTATGTACCATGTGCCTGCAGTGCTCACAAAGGCCAGAAGAAGGCAGAAGATCTCCAGGGACTGGAGTTACAGAGGGTTGTGAGCTGCTTTGTGGGTGCTGGAAATCAAACTTGGGTCCTCTGGAAGAGCAGCCAGTGTTTAAACCACTGATCCGTCTCTCCAGCCCTAAAAGCTATTAGATATTCCAAGTTATTACAAGCTCTCCGAGGCACAGCTTAATGTCAGTGTGTTTTTCTCTTCGTTGGAAGTGAAATGATATCATCACTAATATTCTGTACACAACATTAAGTATAGTGTGTCGTCAGTAATCGTTTGTACACAATAAGGTTCACTAAAGACACCAAACAGGTCTTGTCAGGAAATGACGATTTCAGTGTCAGACGGGACAACGTATTGATATATGTTTTCAAAGATATTCAAGAGAACACCCGACGGAGCCAGACGAACCTTGATCATCTCTGCCTCTATCTGCTGGTGAATGCCTACATAGCTCTTTTTCACCTGCTGCTTGTCCTTGATCATCATGGTGAGCCTGTGCAAGGGTCCAGAGTTCAGGTCCTCAGCGTGCGTCTTCATTATCCTACTGAGCTGCTCTGTCTGCTGGATCATCAGGAGCCAAGACTTTAAAAAACAACAATAATAATAATAAAGTTAGCATTTGTATTACAACTTTCCACTTAACTATGACTCAAATGTTCAGAAGTTATAAATGTTTAGTTTTATAACAATCTTTACATTATAAATAGCAGGTTTTTGCAAAACTGTACAATGAACCATGAAAGAGTTGTATCCAACATCTTCAAGTACAAATGCTTCGGATTTCCATGAGAACCTATGTGGAACCCTGTGATTTACTCAGAGGATGACATGTTTGCTTTCAAATCTGAAAATAGGGCAGCCAACCTGCTCTTGATACCACAAAGTAATTTAAACCTCAAACATCGATTCCTTTAAGAACTAAAATTTAACAAGCTGAGCAGGGCAGCTCCTGCTTGTAATCCCAGCATTCAAAAGGGTGAGACATGAGAACGGTCAAGTCTGAGAACAGCATAGACTATACAGTGAGTTCCAGACCAGCATGGACTACAGTGTGGGATCCTGTCTCAAAACTAGCAAAAAAAAAAAAAAAAAAAAAAAAAACAAAGGATGTGATCAATCCATTCACATCCCTTTTAATTAGTTATATTTAAATGAATTAGTAAATATTTAAAGCATTAAAACCCATGTAACAACAAAAACATGAACATTGTCTTAAAATATGAATGCCAATAACTTGTGTGACTATCTTTTCATCTGGTTTTTCATCCTAAATATGTATTGAAGAAAGTCATGTGGCACATATAGAAAATGAAGGCAATAGCAGATAAATAAACTAAGTGGAAGAAGTCCATGCTCTCGCCTGCCACCTGAGAGCAAACACTCTCTAAAACTCTGTAAATATGCATTTAGTTCTTGTGCGTCCACATAGGAATGTGGGCAACCTAGGGGAGAAGCCATCCTGGAAGCCAACACCAGAGACCACACAACCAGGTCAGGCTGCCCTCCTCGCCCATGGAGGCGCGTCCTGTGCTGCCCAATACCCCACTGCACTGGCCACCTCACAAGGGAGCGCCTTGTTGGAGGAAGTGCGTCATATGGAGGTGAGCTTTGGAGTCTCCTATGCTCAAGCTATGCCTAGTTCAGTCCACTTCCTGGTGCCTGTGGATCGGGATGTGGAACTGGCTCCTCCTCCAGCACCGCGTCTGCCTGCACGCCACCATGTCCTGCCATGATGACAACTGTAAGCCCCCCAGTTCAGTGATGTCCTTTGTAAGAGTTGCTGTGGTCATGGTGGCTCTTCACAGCAAGAGAAGCCTAAGTGGGAAGGAGGAGAAAAGCAAACCGGAAAAGCTCTACCAAACACATGCTGCTTTCTGCTCTCAAGTCCTATGTAGCACCCAACAGAAAATTAACAAATAAACGGATGGTCTCCACTACATCTTCCCAGCCCCACTCCTTTTAAAACCAACTTCTGCTGTCCAAATGTCAGCCCCTCAAAGTATGGGTCATAGCCACATATGGAATACTGTTACTGAATGTGGGGCTGGTGAGCGCGCGCGTGCGCGCGCACACACACACACACACACACACACACATATCCCAGCTACTTTGTAGCATAGTTGCATCCAAGTGAAGAAGTCCTTCTAGGTCAATCCTTGACATGACATACTTCGTTACAAAGCAACAGAGATGAAAATAAAAGAGACCTCTCGCTATAATTTTGTTTTTAACTAAAAATAATGGTAACCCTTTATAAACACCATTAAAAGAAGAATTAAGAAGCAGCACATCTTAGATAACCAATCCAAATCTAACATGATATGATTAAAATACTCAAATAATACTACTTTTGTCTAAAATTTGTGATTTTTAAATATCTTCTGTAGTTTTTTTATATTTGTTTTTGGTAGTCAAAAATAAGATTTACCTAAAAATAAATGTACCCCTTTTAAGTCACAGCTTAAAATCTGATTCAATATAGAAAATTTTCCTTCTCCCCAACTATCCAAAAGAGGTTAGTTGTGTGTACTAAATACAACCCTAGCTGTATAAAAGAATTGATATAAATGATAAAATGACAATTTTGTGCTTAGGAAACCAATAGAGGTCAATAGTACCAATTATCCTGAAATGATGATATGATAATATTTTAAAAGTCAACTGCATGCTCAGCTTACTGAAAACAAAAAAAAAAAAAAAAAAAAATACACACAGGGAGGAAATGTATACTTCCTAGGGCGGGAGCTGGCTCAGCAGTTGGGAGTGCTGGCTGTCCTTCCAGAGGACCAGGTTCGATTCCCAGCACCCACATTCTGGCCCACAGCCACCTGTAACTCCAGGTCCAGGCAATCTCACGCCAGTTGCAGTAGATCTCTGCCCTCTTCTGGACTCCATGGACAGGGTACACGTGCGATGCAGAGCTACACACAGCTACAACACCCATGCACATAAATAATTGCTTTAAATTTTTTAAGAAAATGTACACCTGTTAGAAAAGCCCAGGTCCTTTCTTGCCTTCTACCTTTGAACTAGCAGGCATGTGGTGAGAGGAATCAGTTATCCAAAACAGGTAGTGATATAAGTGTTCTGAGATTATTATACCAAAAAGTATGTATGCTAAGGCACTGAGTAAAAGAACATATTACTACTGGGCCTATAATTACAGCAAGGCATTGAAAACAATCAACAGGATGACTCAAGCTTGAAAAATACCTAAATAATAGCTGTCAAAAATAGCTTCGTGCTATAGATTATATCCTCCAAGTACTTGCTGGCTTTCATCTTGGTGGAATTTTTAAAAAAATTCAACATTAAAATTCCATGAAGAATGCATAGTTTCTGCACTACACAATAACTCAAAATAAACGATCCTCTGAAGCAACAGTCTTTATTAAGTTTGCCTGTTATATAAGGAAAATGCTGCAGTCTCTAAGTCCGTGGGGGATACAGAAAGCCAGAAAACAACTCATTAGATTTCCCTAAGACAGATTTTCAAAGACTCAACTCCAAGTTCAAAGGAATCTTTACATGTTCCCCACTCATATAAAAAAAAAGAAAGAAAGAAAAAAACAACCTCTCCAAATTTCTGTTAAATCTTGACTCCCCTGCTCCAAATGGTCTCTAAGCTGGTTGCAATCAAAAATAACTGAGTCTTTTAAAGACATCAGTTTGGGGATTCTATGACCAGAAAGCCTGATGCAGCATCCTTCTGAGACAGAGCATGGGATCAGAGCTTCAACCCCCTGGGTAATTCCACTATACAAGCTCTGCTGTAGGAAAATATCTGTGTCACTAACAATCTCTTCATTATACAAAACTATACCCTAAAAGTCACAGGGATTATAGTTGTGTTAGGAGGATAACATTCAAAACACTAATCAGGGATGCATTTAAAAATACAGCAACTTTGTCCAGCTTCACATATATTAAGTGACTAAGAAATACGCTACAATCAACACGGTACTTTAACTTGAAAAGACTGGAAATACACCTGTCAAAATAGGTTTTAGAGTTCCTTGGAGTGGCAGAAAACGAAGTAAAGTTTGGCTTGTAACAAAGAGTAAGCAATGGCAGCCAGCAAAGGACTGCACTGCAGTGCATATCTGAAACCTATTCCTAAGCAACTCAGTTCAACTGGATGCCACTCACAAACCAACCTAATACTTCCCCCACTTTCATACATCAGGAAAATACACATAAGGCTTAACTTGTTCCTTACTAAATCACTTTGGTTTTAACAGATTCACATTTCAAGTCAAATGTTTTATAAGAACTATCTCCTGAGAACTATATAAATTATAGTATTATATATAATACATATATTACATACACAAAGCTTGTGTTATGTAGCTACTAAGTATAATTTACTCTAGTACATCAAAAGCATTTTTTCAGTGTAGTATATGAGTACTGCTAGTATTTCTATCTACTTTGTGTTTAAAAGGTCACTATCTCCTGATGGGAGATGACATTCTGTAAATATGTTTCTCGTATTGGTTAATGAATAAAGCACTGTTGGCCAATAGGAAAGCAAGATGGGCGGGACTAGGAGACGAGGAGGAGAAAGGAAGAAGTAGGAGGAGAGTCAAGATGTTGGACTTGGACGGAGAGAGAAGAACGCCAGTGCCTCTCTCCGGTAAGATGAGACCACACGGAAATATTTAGGTCAACAGAAATGGGTTAACATTTAAGACAGACCTAGCTGATAAGAAACAAGTAACTGGCCAACAGCGTTATATCAAAAACAGAGTCTCTGTGTGTTATTTGGGGCTGGCGCAGCTGTGGGACCAGAACGGCCGACAGAAAAACATGCTCATAACAATCTCCCTTCAAATAAATTGTATTATTGAGGATTACAGAGACAGAGTTGAATGTACGTGGACAGCTGAGATTTCAATGAACAACAATGTGAAATGACTACAGCAGTGGTGAGACTCTTGGCTACTCTTGCAGAAGACCAAAGCTTGCCTGCCAGCACCCACAAGTGGCTCCCAAACACCTGTAACTCCAGTTCTAAGGCACCAAACAGCCCTTCTGGATTCTGCCAGCTCCTGCATGCAATGTGCATGTGTGTATACACACACACAAGATACACACAGATATACACATACATGTGCATGTAAATAAATCTATTTCTAAAAAGTAAAATAGCTGTTAAACACATGGAAAATATAGTTAATTAATTATGCTCACTTTTAGAGAAATACGTGATAAAACCATAGTATGTTTCATTTAGTATCTACTAGTTCACAAAAACTCAAAAGTGTGAGTAGGTAGACACTGGCAGATTCATACAGTTCTGGTAAGCATGCAAAATGCCACAAGACTCATATATTTATATTTATATTAGTGACATATAACAAAACTATACACACACTTACATTTTGACCTAGAAAGTCCACATCTATGAATTTACCATGAATACACCCATGAAAATACAAAAATGTCTCTATATAATGGTACTTTACATTATATTTGTAACTGCCAAATATTGGAGACCTTCTAAACTGGTTTTACACTCAAATCTTCTCCTCCAAAGAAAGCTGGCCACCCAGGGAAAAGGGTTTAGTCCAGGGTGGTAGAAAGGAACCTTTCCGAGAAGCCTGGGAGTTCTCGCTAAGCCAAGAGGTAGAGGGCAGCCGAAGCAGAGCCCGCAGTGGGAAGCAACAACAGCTGCGCAGACAGGTCTCCATCGCTGTTATTAAAGTTCTCATAAAGGCGCAATGGGAAAGCAAGGCACTCAAAAGTGCGCCCTTGGGAAGACAGCATGCGTACACATAAAAATATCTTCAAGTAAAAAAATAAAAATAATTAAGTCTATACTGTATTTCCTGCTTATGTTTTACATTAAAGTCCATTGTAAATTCAAAAACTAAATGAAATGACTGATTCCAGACTTAACTTTGGGTCAACGTAAGAAAAGCAACGTTTTCCAGAGAGGGTCATTACTCGAACAGTGGACAAGAGTGGGAGGCTTAGGAGATGGCTCAGTGGAGAAATGCGTATCACACCAGCATGGAGACAACTGCAGTCCAGATGCCAGAGCCCACATAAACACAGGCAGCTGTGGAATCTGCCTACCATGCCAGCTCTGGGTAGAAGCAGACTGCTGGGGAACGCTGGCTATGTGGGCCAGGTCAGGGGTGTCGCATGTGTTACTGAAGGGGCAACTTCCTTCCTCTCAGCTCACTGGGGCAGGCTCTCCTTGCTTCTGCCTCGCTGCACACGCCAGGTGACCGCCAGACCTCTGGCTCCCATCTCACTGTAGACTACAGATACACACCACACACTCAGCCTTTCCCAAGGCTTTCAGGGTCTGAATTCAGGTTGTCAGAATGCACAGCAAGAGATTTTAGCCACTGAGCCATCATCAGACCAAGAAATTTATTTTTAACAGGTACTATGACTAAACTATTATAATTTGATTTATTATATAGCAGATATATTCTTAGAAAACATGCACAAATATTTTGGAATAAAGCGACATAATATATCCTTAACTACCTCATAAATTGTTACACTTCTTGTGACAGTGCAGAAACAGGCATTAATTTATCCACTTACCTAAAATGATAACTAGATAAAAATATATAAAATTAACAACACTCGAGAGGCATTAGTAAATGAAACAATGACCCCTTGAAGACTACAAATCATGATCTAAGCCCTAACATTACTAAGGCTGACTTGGCTAAAAAAAAAAAGTCTAGGTCACAATTAAGCAAAACCCCAGTAATGTCCAGTTGAGAAGAGTGATTTCAGAACACAAAGGGGCCAAAATACCCCCATGGACTTATGGTCCCCAAGAGAAAAAACCAAGGACGAGGCATTATAAACAAGAGAAGGACACAAAGGAAAAATTCTGGAGACCTACAGGCTCTTCCTCAATTGCACAGGTGAGTACTGGACAGCTTTCATCAACTAGACCTAGAAAACTACCACCAAAAGAATGCAAGAAACCTCCTCAGAACTCACAGGCACACGACTCATTTTACAGTTTTATAATGACTGGACACGCTTTTGAGTATGACCATGCTATGGAGATAGAGAAGATAAAGTGATCAGAAACTAAATCAAGCGTAGTTGGACCTAACAAATACAAAAGCAAGAAGAGGGTTACACTGTCTGCATTCCAAAGCGAAACTCAAGAATATGTAAAGGCAACAAACACACATAACAAGATAAAATGCAAAGTGCATGATGCCTGGGAGCAAATCAAGGATTATTAGACAGACAATGCAGGAAAGTGCCACTAAAATTAGGAGAAAAGCTAAGCCAGCAAGGCCGGGGGGGGGGGGGGGGGCTCAGTGGCAGCATGCTTGCCTAGCATACACAAAGCTCTGGGTGTCACCCCCAGCACCGCATGGGGGAGGGGAGACCAGGAATGACATAAAAGCAGCACACAGGACAGAACAGCAGGGTAAGTAAACAGTTGCCATGACTACACCATATACATCAAGGAAGCAAAAGAAGCAAACATGATGAGTAGAAACATGGAAGACGCAAAAAGATTGAGTGAGGAGGATGCTTGTGATTTACTCATTATCAGCATGGGACCTACACATAATCATCAGGGAAACCAAGGCTATGATGAGAGAGCCCACTTGTCTCTCTAGTTCACTGTGAGTGACAGACATTTATTTTCATTCTTCAGCACGTGGCTATGGACTTTCTCCACCACTTGAATTTCAGAGACTAGCATTTTTCTACTGTGTATTCTTAGAATCGTGGCTGAGAATCGCTGAGTTGTTTACCATTCCTTTATGTTTTCTGGTCCTGCCAAAACCACCTCTTGCTTTCACCTCATGACTGAACGTTTGGCCACCTGGTTGGAGAAATTGTAGAGATTAAACATAACTTATCGCCCTCCCAAGTACGGTCTACTACAGACTTCAAAATATGGGGAGGTCTTAGGACTTTGAATATTTTTAATCAAAAAGAAATTCATGATTGGGGAAGCAGGGATTTTAATAATATTTTTACTACGTCCCTGAGAATGTGACAGAATTTATTGTGGTCACATTTAGCCCAGAGTCTCCTGGTGACCCTCTCCAGGGTCATCTCCTTACTCACCCAACTTGTTGTTTTTTTTTTTAACCAAGTCCAATTTGTGCTGCCAACTACTCTAAGGAGTGGGACCTGCCTGCAATGAGGTCTACGACCTATCAGAGATCAGACAATGAAAGAAAAGTGACTTGTTTAATGCATTTAAATATGTCTAAGCATTACACAAAGTGGAAAGGTTTCAAAGCATCACTTGATACCCCATGAATATTTACCCACTAAAAAGAAAATTTAAGGCTGGGCACGGTGGCACACACCTTTAATCTCAGAACTTGGGAGACAGAGGCAGGCATATCTCTTGTGATTTTAAGGTCAGCCAGGGAAAATGGGGTAATAAATGAAAATTAAAGGAGGTAAATGAATGAAAAGAAATGAAAGGAAGATGGAACAAAGACAAAGTGGATATTAACAAATTGAGTTATTTGGCAATTATTAAAATATACAGTGAACTGAGAGGATCTTAAAGCAGCACATAAACACTCACAGGACCCGGGAACTGGGGAGACACTTCAGGGAGAAAACACAGTGGCTGTACAAGCCTGACAGTCTGAGTACAACAAAAAAGCCAGACATGACAGCGTGTGCCTGGCATCTCGGTGTTTTAAGGCAGAAACAGGTGGATCCCAGGAGCCTGCTGCCCAGGCAGGCCAGCAGCCCGCTAGGCCCCAGCCTGGACAAGTCCCAAAGTCAGGAGACTACGGTGCAAAGCCACAGCGGACAGCACACACCCGCCTCTGGGCCCCACATGCAAGTGTACACACATCTCCACAGACACGCATACATCGTGTCTACAACATGTACAGATAAAACAGCACTAAGAGAAAATTTACAACACTCTGAGTTGACATGGGTGTGTTCATTCTAGAGCATGATCTATTTGTTCTAAGGAGAACCGTGACGCTACACAGAACAAGGGAACCCACTCTTACCTTGGACACATTACTGATATAATTCACCTGCACGGTGCTTTCTTTATCAACTTGATTACAAAGATTCTGTAAAGTATATGCATATTCTTTATCGCTTTTTATTCTCAGTGCCATAAATTTCTTCACTGTCTCCAGTAATCGTAATTCCCAGTCTTGCAACTTTAACACAGCTTCCTGCGAGTTCCTCAGGTCACTCCCAAATCCCATTGTGTAGGGCGCGGCTTGTCCTCTGGACCACACAAGTGAGCCCGCTAGTCAGCACATATCTGTGAACATAAACGTAAAAAGTCTCAATCAGAAGGACATTAGTCCTCAAAGCAAAAGTGTGGTCAATTTTTGTTTTATCAAGAGTTCATTTGTTTGGTTCTTGTTTGTTTGTTTTATGACAACTAGATGTCTTCTCCCAAAGATCAGGAAGAAACTGAGGACTCACACTATACTGCTGTTTACTGAAGGCTTCAGATCCTGCAGTGACACTGTGAATGAAAAGATGCTTAGGGAAGGGGCGGCAGAGACGCACAGTGCTAGAGTGTACACTGTTCTTCCGGAGGAGCCGAGTCGGTGGTGGCTTCACCACAGCCGGAACTCCAAATCAGAGGATCTGACACCTCTGACTCCTCAGGGACCTGCACTCCCGTGCATACACCCACACACAGGGATACACACACATTCACAAAAGTATAATTGAAGACAACAGACTAGAGAAGGAAGAAGAGAAGTGATTTCCATTTGCAGATGACACCAATTCAGTACAGAGGATCCCAGAACAGACTTAATGCGGGCATCAGAGTGAGTCTGGGAACAGATGACGGGCAGAGGAAATGTCCTCCGGGGGTCATGTGCTCCCTGTCTCCTCCCCAGCTATCAGAGCTATTCGGGAGATGGTGGAAACTCTAGATGGGGAGCCTCGCTAGGCAAGTAGATCACTGGAATGTGCTTTCTCTCTGATTCCCAGTTTCCAAGGTGAGGAGCTTCTACACACTCACACCTGCTGCCGTGAGGTCAGAAGGAAACCCTTCTTCCCTCGTGGCTTTTCTCACACATTTGATCATGCAACATGGTGCTCACTGACATGCGCAGCACAAGGTCACGGTTAAAGAGTCACCCTCAAGTCCACATGTCAGCAACCATCAGACCTCCGCAAGTGTGTGACCTCCGCAAGAGACTCTGCTGTCATCTCTACATATGTCATAATCTGTACTGAACACACTGTGTAAGTGAAAGAAATTAAGACATAAAACAATTCTATTTTACATGACAAGTCTAAAATAGGCCAATTATAAATTAGATGTGTGTTTGTCTGGGGCTGGTGAACTTGGAGAGAAACAGGGACGATACCTCTCAGGTATCGCCTTTCCTGCGGTGACGAAAGTGCAGTAATTCCATTGTGATGGCAGCACAACTCTGAGAGCTGAGTAGAAACTGCACAGTCCCGCCAGGTGAATTCTTCAGTATGGGAGGGCTAAGTTTTAGATACGGTTTGATGCATCGCTAAGGCCGTGGGATTTAATCCCGAGGAGAGGTATTGAGAAGATGGAAAATGAAGGCCACTGCAGCACTTAGCAGGAGGACCTCTGGGAGATGAGCAGGAAGAAGTAAGTTATTAGCACGGACCCCATGACTGAATCCTGAAAGTGATAGCTTCATAAGAGGGGGGCAACCCAGGAATTACCCTCCCTCCCCCCCACACACACACCCTTACTCCCTGAAATGGTCTGAACCATCTGGAGTCTCTGCAGTAAGGCCATCCCCAGATGTGGCTCATTAACCTTGAACCTCCAGACCCTAACCAAATGAGCCTGTCTTATTTATAAACCCCCTGTGTCTGTGTTACAATGTTGCTGGTGACAGAAAGTGGACTAGAATTCAAACAGTAACTCAAAACAGCAATTTAAAAATCACCAAGACATAAGTGAAGGTCAAGTATAGGCCAGCTATCATAAACCTCCCCCAGATACTCTCCTTGTTTACTGTAAATCCTGAAAACTTTAGCAGAATTTACTTTGCCCTCCATTTTGTCTTTCTGGCATCCACTCTTTCAAACCAGAATGGAGAAATGGGAGCCACGCCTCCCTTTTCCAGTACTGGGTCACCCAGACTAGAAGTCAGGGGTCTCAATGTTGTAGTAGTGGCTCTCAGTCTGCTGGTTTTGTGGTGCTAGAAACTGAACCTCAGGCCTCCCGCTTGCTGGGCAAGTGCTCCCTAAGTAACACTGAGCTACAATCTGAACACAGAATTCTGTTTCCAGTTAAGGACACCGACACCATCTAAGCTACACAGACAAAAAGAGGTTTCTCTCTCTAACTTCAGTTGCTTTATCTAAAGACAGGTCAAAAATTATTGTTCTCCAAGTAGAGAATAAATCACAGTTGTTCTCCAACGGAAAGATGTTTAATTGTATGAACTATAAAGTAACTAGGAAAAATTGAGTTGTAAAATACTCCTTGCTAATATTTCCAAAGCGGCAACCAAGATTGAATGGCCCTTGGCTGAGTGGAAACTCCAGCACTACCAAGTTACTCACCTGAGTGTCACACAGGATGACTCCAGGCCCAGAGCCCAGCCATCAGCTTTAATACAATGACTTTGGGTCTGGGTTTAGTTCAGTGGTAGAGTATTTTCTAGTATTCAGAAGCCCATGGCTCAACTCCAAGGGCCACAGTTGAAAAGACAATTGTTTGTGGGGCACAAAAACTGTCACTGACTTTTTTTGTTGTTGCTGCTATGTTTACCTGCAGCTAGAGGAAACGTACTTCTCACCCCACGGTCAGCCAAACAATAAAGAATATTTTTGAGGGAAGAAATGTTAAGACTATTTTAATTTCTAGAAAAAAAAAAAAACTAAATCTAAGATTGTGGTGATTCATTTTAGTCCTAATGTGGGATAAATACCATCTTTGCTTCTAAATGCATCTTGATAAGCATTTTTTTTTTTTTTCTGCTATCAGAAGCTACAAAAAATTGTGTGGAGCTTAGAGAACAAACGGGAAACAGAATCTGGCAGGATCTGGAAAATGCTCCAACCTGTCCTAAGTGCTTATTTATGTTTATTAATATTCTAGGTTAGAATGTATATGTACGTCTCTTTAGGAAAAAAATGGAATAAAGATATTTTTAAAGTAAGGCAACTCCATAATAAATTAACTGTCTAATTGTTGAACTGTATGACATGACAAATGCTTAAGGAATTATCACATCAATGCATGACAAAAAACCAAGGTAGGTCAACTCCATAATGAATTGTGTCTAATTGTTGGACTGTTTAATATGACAAATATTTAAGGAGTAAGTAACTATCAGACCGGTACACCACATGTAACTACCCTATTCATGAGAAACCATTCATCTATATATGACTAGTGTTTGCAGTAACAGCAAGCTGCAGTATGTGAAGTAGTTACCAGTGAACAGTGATTAAGTAGACTGCAAACCAGCCCATGATTCACCTTTTCTACCAGGCACAAGCACAGCAAGCAGAAGGAATCTGCTAGAGAGACCCAATTATAGCAAGCAATCCATACAGGAATGCGGTGTGTCAGCTCTATGACAATGTCCCTTAGACCGTGAGGAGGGAACTTTTGATGGGCTCACTGAGATGAGCAGACCCCGAGTGGTGTCCCACTGTGCACTCCGCCTGTTTAGCCTCCCTTTGCGAGAATAATGTAACCATTCTGTCTCCAATTTCCTATGTACTCGGTTTTTACAACTTAAGCTAATGCATAGCTGTAATCTTAAATTATGTGCTCTTCCATGCCCCTGACCCAGATCAATGCATGTGTGTATGTGTGTGTTAAGGCAATCATTTGCTAAAAACAGCACATAGCCAGAAACCAACAAATATCCACCATAAATGTTGGAAGCAGCCTAAGGATATTGCTTGATAACCGTGTGCTCACAATAATGTTTGTTATCTTGTTATCAACTAGTTGGGGGGGGGGTGTCAGTGACTTCATCCCTTGTAAAACTGTTACTGATTTCTGTAAAGTGTCCCTCATGCCTTTCCCATGTGAAGCTTCCTGTGCTGTTAAATAAATAGAGAACAAAGCTCTTTCTAAGGAAAGGGTCAGATACAAACATCAAATACAAACTATGGGCAGATGGGAGACACAAGGAGAGGAGCGGGGAATTCAAACTTGGGTTTACTCCTGCGTCAGATTAAAGGAAGGGGAGGTACTGTTCCTCCATGGAGCCTCTGAGGATATATTTAATGTGTTTGACTGAAGCACAGGTACTTTTGTGCTCACGGGTCTGAGGGAGACCTTCCTCATTCAGAGACTCCAGAACAGGCAGGTGGGACAGGAAGGAAGGACCAGGCTTTTGCACAAAGTACAAGCCAAGAACCCACACGCTTCCCCCATCCTGAATTGGGAGAGCAGAATGTGGTAACAAAGCCCTAGCACACTTCCCCGCCAGTGAACACACATGACTTGACCTAAGGAAACGTGTGCTGTCTTCTCAGGGAACACAAGAACATACCACTGGGAGCCCAAGAGTTATCAAATAAACCAAGGAAACCAAAACGACAGTGTTAAAAAAAAAAAAAAAGAAACAATCCAAGTGTTGCTGGAACAGGATCCCATAAAAGCAAACTAAGAGCTACAGGCTGAAAAACTGAAGGCAACTGCTTATGAAAATAAGAGGTTAAAGTGGTCCCAAAATCTAACATAATAACTAAAGTATATAGGGTTCAATCAGAAAATACACCAAGAAAATCCTAATTTTAATAGGAAAAGTTAATATTAGTATCAAGATGAATCTGGCACCAGCATAGCAAGAGTTTTAAGCAGCCACACTAAAAACACTTTAGTGCATGTCCACTCTCACAGGGAATCCAAGTTCGAGTCCTAGCACCCACCAGGTGTCAAACAATCACATTTAACTCCAGCTCCGAAGAACCAAACACCTCTGCCCTCCACGACACCTACACTTAAGTTCACATATACATATACACATAATTTAAATTTTCCTTTAAAAAATGTATATAATTTAGTGGTTATCGGTTACAAATCAGGCAGTAACAGGATGTTATACAAAAGTGTATGTATGTATGTTGTTATCAAAATAATCTTTAAAAGAAAGAAAGTCTCATGTAGCCCAGACTGAGCTTCACCTTGCTATGTAGCTGAGAATGGCCTTGGCCATCTGACCCTCCTGCCTCTGTTTGCAGAAGCATGCATACAGTATGCTCGTTATGTAGCTCTGGGGACTGAACCCTGGGCTTCATACACTAGGCAAGCATGCTACCAACTGAGCTACATCCTTACCCCAGTGTTAGTTCTTTGTAAGAAACAAGTTTATAAGGGGACATGGGAGGATGGGAGGGAGAGGGAACTGGGATCGATATGTAAAATAAGATAAAAATATAAAATAAAAATTTTTTTAAAAGAACAAGTTTATAAAAAGTGAAACTAACCTAAATTCACTAAACTGCTGGCTATTTGGATTTATTTAACCTATTTATTTGCAACTACATTATTTAATGGTCTTCAATTTGAGATTGCCTTTTCTCATTATCAATGATTAAATTAAAACTTTTAAGGAATCATTAAAAATGCTTCTTTTTGAAAATTAGCTTAATTTTCATAGAATATATCCACATATACAAAATGAAAGCAAACTGTAAAACAGATAACAGTTTCTTCGTAGGATGACAACATTCCAATGGTATTACCTTATGAACATAGAGATATATACAAGTATCTGTTCTAAAATGCAACCTGTTTCTCAATTTGGGGCGCTGTAACTGTCAACTTTTACATTCTACAAGTACAAAGGTAGAAATATTGGTTCTTGTGGCACCATGGGAGTTTGAGGCAGGAGAATAAGAAGTTCAAGGTCATCTGTCCTCAACTACATAGCAAGTCTGAGGCCAGCCTGGGGTACAAACAATGCCATGTCAAAAGGAGAGGGGAGGGGACGGGGAAAGAACCAAGAATGAAATGGATGCATGCTGCTCTTTTATTTATTTATCCTCCAGGGTCTCGCTATGTAGTCTGGCTGTCCTGGAACTCACTATGTAGACCAGGCTACTCTGAAACTCACCGAGATCCACCGGTCTCTGACTCATAAGGCTGGGATTGAAGGCATGTGCCACTATGACTGGAGAATGTGCCTGGTATATTTTAATGGCATAAAGAAAGTATTGTCTCTCAAATTAGGGGAGCTTAACTTATTTTAACACAGAAGGTTTAAAAACAACAAGTTTTTTCCCTTTATCTGACACTGCTAGAGAGACTGAGTCCAGCTCGCCATCGGAAGTTGGCAAATACGCTACTGAAGCTGTGTGACACGAGCATGTGTCAGATGAGCTTGGGTTGGTGAGATGGTTCAGGGCAGGGTTTGGGGACAGGAAGAGCACAGGAAGGAAGAAGGCAGAGTTGTCAGCCAGACTTGAAGGAAGCATGACATGTAGGAGATGAAGTGACAAGCCATGAGCCACGTGGCAGCACATGGATTAATAGAAATGGGTTAATTTGAGTTATAAGAGCTAGTTAGAAAAAAGCCTAAGCTAAGAGCAAACTTTTGTAAATACTAGTAAGTCTCCATGTGGTTATTTGGGAGCTGGCTGGCAGGACAGAGAAAGACTGGCTGCAGGTGACCATGAGGTCAGTGTCATTCACTACCAACTACTAGGCCACATCATGGACAAAATACTGATAAGTTTTCTGCTTGAAAATGATATTTCTATCTCCAAGTAAAGAGAGAGCTGTGGCCTGGCCAGCCTATCTGAGCTGCTTTAGCGGATAACAATCTCCCTGGAAGTCTAACCAAATGGAGAATGTGCATACTCCTAGTTAAACTGTTATATCATTACATCAAAAAATCTACATGAAATAGTAACATCTGCAACTGAAGAAAGCAGAACTGTTAGCAGGAATTTTTGAAGGAACTGACATAAGTCAATAGGCATTTATTGTATAACCACAAGAAATAATTATTAGAAACATAAAGGTAAATAAAACCTTAATCACAGCCTTCAAACAATTTGCAGGGAAGTAAAAGAAGTTCGCAGTAATAACAATCCAGCTGACATTCCACAGTGACTCAGCAGGTGACAAAACCGCCAAGATGAATAGGTTACAGAAGCACAGAGAGAGATGGAAGATGAGCCAGTCAGTGGGGTGCACACAAACCCCACATAGGAAGGTGTGCGCGACTGATATAACTGATGTGCTAAGAGAAGAACGAGGAAAAGGCAGCCCAGCTAAGTACAAGGCACAAAAAACATAGGCAAGAACGGAGCTGGAAGAGTACACGGGCCAGGTCCTGAGTCCATCCCTGAGGGAGGGAGGACGGCAGGAGAAAGGAAGACACAGAGGAAGGGAGCCTTCCCAACAGACCTTCCAGGGATGATAACAAGACAAGTACAGCAGTAGACTGTGTATCTTTCTACATAGGGAGTGGCTTTGGCAGAGGAAGTGCTAGGTTTGACCCTACCATCTAGCAATGATGTACTGTAATTACCCAACTCTTGAGAGTTCAGTTTTCTTTTCTTTCCAGCGGAGACAGCATATGCCTATCGTCAGAGCTTGGTGGGGGTTAAACGGGATAATTAAGGTACTTATTTTAAAAAGGCTATTACTAAAAACCATGAGAGAGCACAAAGAGAAAAGACAAAGTAGAAATGGAGGAGAGTTACTTATAAGTACAAGTTCTAATTCAATCAAAGGTACAAAGTCAGAAAAACATGAAAGCTACTTACGCATAAATGAAAACGGCATAGGAAAAGGCTTAAAAGATAACTTATGGCTTTGGGCCTCATATGCTCTAAATTCCAGATATATAGCTTATCCAGATGTCTTCAACCTTTTAGCCTGATATGATCAATTATTATGAAAGAGAGCAGCTTTCAAATCAAGGCCAAACAAATTGCCACTTCTCAAGAGATCAATTCCATCAGCAGAGTGAGCGTAGCTTCCAAAGTCCCCCGTACTTGGAAAGGGTCAGCAAAGGCACACACTGTGGAAGTGGTGACTACCAACGGGGTGAGAGAGCAGGCCATGGCAGTCCCCAGCCTCCAGAGAGCGGGACTCAGGGAAACCAACTCTGCTCATGTTCGGAAAAAAGTCCTTCCATTCTGGACTTTTTCAGGTAAATCAGCCTTTCACCAAAAGAAAAAACCTGATCCCCAGACCCACCCACTCCCTTTAGTTAAAGCCTCATATTCTGCTTTAATTCAAAAATGTAAACATCTGCACAGAGGCCCTAGGATTCCACTGCAATTATAAACCAGCTTTCCTAAATCTCTAACCTACAACTCCAAGAGTCCACATAAAAAGGATCTCGGGGTGGGAGTGTCATCTTCTGTGGTTAATTTTAACTGCCACCATGACACAATCTAGACTCACCTGGAGAGAGTCTCGGTGAAGGACTGTCTACATTAGGTTCTCCTATGGGAGTGTCTGTGAGGGATTATCTGGATTGCTTTCACTGAGTTAGGAAGCCGTGGCCACCGAGGGCAGCAACAATCCTCCGTAGGCGGGTGGTCCTCAACTGTAGACTAGAAAAGGGAAGCTGAGCACTAGGCTGCCTGCGTTCACTGCTCTGTGATTCCAGATGTGACATGACCAACCTCCTCAAGCTCCTACCCCACCTGGACCTTTCTGCTAGGACGGCCTCTAATTCTAACCCACAATAAACTACAATTGTAACCTAAAATAAACCCCCTTTTTCCTAAATTGCTTTTGTCTTGGTATTTTATCACAGAAGTAGGAAATGAAACTTATATCTTCTCCATCCCCATATCCATGAGTCTCAGAGAAACAGAGGGACCCTGTCCAGCTGACATTTCCAAATCAAGGATCCTCCTACCTCAGGCAAAATTTCCTTCCTCTGAGAATAAAGGGTGAGGGAAAGGTAAGAGAGAGTAACAGAGGGTAAATAGGATCCAAATATATTAATATGTGTATGTCTGGCTCACAGAGACACCCCCCCTGCCTCCTGAGTGCTGGGGTTACCACACCCAGCATATTTTTAATACATACGAGTTAGTGCTTTACTAAAGCTTTTCCAAACAATGAGTTCTATATGCCGTTTAATTAATTATGAATTTAATTTCATGTCACTCCAGAGTCTTTCTGAAAACACAAATACAGAAAGCAGAACAAAGAAGGAGCTTTTCGAGAAGGAAAGCATTGTTGAGTTTGGTGTCAGGCATTTGAACACAGGACGGGTAGGCACACAGGCTAGAGAAGCAATATGGGGATGGGGATTTTGCCAATCAAAGTATGAGCTGAAAAAAAAAAAAAAAAATCAGATCACAAGTGCCATGTGCAAAATGAATTAAGATAAATGACAAGCAAAAATAAGTCACACATGAAATGATAGTGGCCTTCTGAAGCATAGTAATCTAATGTAAAGTATAGTAATCTAATACAAAGGGCACTAAAATGTTAACACGAAACTATTACAGGTTCAGAGGCCAAATCCAAAATCAAAGGTTAGCAATTTACTAAGAAGAGGAAAGTAGTCCTACCTTACTACTACCACTGCTGGCCATGTCTTAGCTAAAGGAGCAGGTCCATGGTGAGAAATTACACATTTAGGGTTGAGGAAGACACTTGAGAAAGTGTGCAGTGAAGTCTCATGAAGTGATCATAGGTCTAGCCAAAAGAACTGAGCTGTAGGAAGAAAGGTTAGGAGTCAGAACTACTCACTACAGAGAGATTAAAAAACATGTATGTGTGCAAAGTGCAGTAAAGCTCTTCCCAGAGACCACCTGCCACTTTTCCCTGCTCCAGACAGGAACGCCACACAGCCTACCTGCCCGCCCGCCATGCTCTCCCTCCCTAGCTAACCCCTCTCCTTCCCTCTCCCTCCCCAGCTGCCCCCTCTCCCTCCCCAGCTGCCCCTCTCCCTCCCCAGCTGCCCCCTCTCCTTCCCTCTCCCTCCCTAGCTGTCCCCCTCCTTCCCCAGCTGCCCCCTCTCCCTCCCCAGCTGCCCCCTCTCCCTCCCCAGCTGCCCCCTCCTTCCCCAGCTGCCCCCTCTCCCTCCCCAGCTGCCCCCTCTCCCTCCCCAGCTGCCCCCTCTCCCTCCCCAGCTGCCCCCTCCTTCCCCAGCTGCCCCCTCTCCCTCCCCAGCTGCCCCCTCCTTCCCCAGCTGCCCCCTCTCGCTCCCCCAGCTGCCCCCTCTCCCTCCCCAGCTGCCCCCTCTCCCTCCCCCAGCTGCCCCCTCTCCCTCCCCAGCTGCCCCCTCTCCCTCCCCAGCTGCCCCCTCTCCCTCCCCAGCTGCCCCCTCCTTCCCCAGCTGCCCCCTCTCGCTCCCCAGCTGCCCCCTCTCCCTCCCCAGCTGCCCCCTCTCCCTCCCTAGCTGCCCCCTCCTTCCCTAGCTGCCCCCCTTCCTAGCTGCCCCCTCCCTAGCTGCCCCCCTTGCTCCTTCCTTTCCCACACCCACACCCAGTTTTGCAGAGCCTACTATTGCTTCTGCGTTTTCAAAGCACAAAACTAACTTGAGCTGGAAGCAAAGCACAGACAGAGAGTTACTACTCTTATTAAAGACTGTTACAGGTAGCGAGGGGAATCCCAGGCCGCCCTAGGCAAGGAACTCCATGCAAATAACACCTGCTGACTGAGAGACAGTGTTCCTGAGTAAGTGTTCCCGCATTTATTACCCAATACCATGTGGTCAGAATACATACAAGCAACACTGACCAGACCCAACAGGCTGTGTTTACATATTTATGCACATAGAGAAAAGCAGGCCATGAATTTGAGAGGGAGGAAGGGGAGACACAGGAAGGGCTGGAGGGGTGAAAGAGAAGGACTAAAATGATACAATTATATTTTAACTACAAAAAAAAGATGGAGGGAAAATGATATAATCTGAAGAACTAATCAGGAATGCAAAAGACGACGAAGGTTGAGGCAGATTTTCCCAACAAAGACATATTCCTGTCTCAAAAGCCTCGGTGAGCCTAAGTTTACTCCTTGACTGGCTGGTTTTCTCTCAATCTTGAAATTGGAAGCTCTTGTAAAAGGCTTCTTGGTCATGGGTTCTCTGGTGTGTGTGTGTGTGTATGTGTGTGTGTGTGTGTGCGTGTGTGTGCGCGTGCGCGTGTGTAAGAGAGACGCTCATGAGTGTGGAAGCCAGAGGGTAACTGTGGAGCTGGTTCTCTCCCAGCGCCACGTGGGCTCTGGGGATTGAACTCTGGTCATCAGATTTGTACAGCAACCACTGTTTACCACTGAGCCATCTCTGTGGCCCTGACTTTTTTCTTTTTCTTTTTGCCTTTCTGCCATTCCCGTCCACTTTAACACAAACCCGGTGGCATTTCACACACGCCATCAGAACTATCTGCTTCCACCCAGTCAGGAAACCGACCAGCTTTATAGTCACATTCTCCAAGTCTTCCATCATTCCAATGACCTACACATCTCTAAAGGCACCTCACTGCCTCCAAGCATCATTTCATCCTAGATGTGGATGGCTCTCAATGCTAACGCGATTGCAAATCTAGCCTCCCTGTAAGTTTAAATGTCATTAACCCCTTCTCCCACTAAACCCTAACTGAGGGAAGGGTTTCCAATCCTAACACTGTTGATGCCCTCCACACCACACCTGAGACACAGTAGCCACCAAACAAGTATAACTGAATGAGTGACATTGTAAGGAAAATTACAGTTCTCTCTGATTAGTGCACAGTGGTATAAAGTAAGGCTTTTGAATGAGATCTTATAGATGGTAAAATGTATAACTTAAAATTATATTTAAATGTGAACTTTAATCTTCATTTCTTTTATAGTCTTTCAAAACAGCATGCAAGTTATACTATAGTGAACAGCACAATAGGCTGATGGATGTTTATTCGGGGAGAAATCACTTACACCAGAAACAGATGATTGCCACAGGTTCCTGTCCCAAGGACGCCTCCAGATGCTGTCTCTGATCATCCAGCACCCCAGACCTAGTCCCCCCAGGTCACGCCCACACCTGTCCCCACACCCCGATGAAGGTGGTCAGTCCAACAGGTGCAGGCAGGGTGGATATCTCATTACAATTCCCCTTTCAGTCTAAAGAAAAGATTTAGGCTTGAGACAAAACTATATACAAAGACAATAAATATCAAGTATGCTCTAGGAAAAGGAAAATTAACAACATACAAACTTAAGACCTACAGAGACACAACTATGGCAAACTAGCACTGGATCGCAAGCAAGGATTAACAGCAAAGCAGCATCTTCACTTCCTACAATGATACGTAAGTAACAGATATTTCCTGACAGCTATTAGCCATGCAACAATTACCTATACAAAAAGAAAGGGAGAAAGGGAGGGAGGGGGGTGAGGGAGGGAGGAAGAAAACAAAACCAAAAATTCTGCCTCCATGGAGATTATACATTAAAAAGAAAAATCAAAAACATTAAAAAAAAATGTAAGGGCTAGGTGTGACAATCACTACAGAAAGGAAAACTAAGAAGCCTGGGGAGGTAGACTAGTGATGACATAATGGAACCCTGAGGAAGACGGGGTTGCGCTGAGCTCTGGAGGAGAGCACTCCAGGGGAAGTGAGCACAGAGGTCCTGTGTGAGACACACTGTGTGTAGGGAACGGTGGAGAGAATGCAGACGCCGCATGAGCGAGACCAGAGCCACAAACTACATCACCTGAGAGCCTGCGCTTCCACAGAGCTACCCCGGAAGCCGCTGAAGACCGAGGGACACCGAGGGACACCGAGGGACACCGAGGGACACCGAGGGACACCGAGGGACACCGAGGGACCAGTCCCAGCTTTCTGAAAGGACCAAAGGCAACTCTGTGAGAGGGAGATACGGGCAGAGTCTCACTGGGAGTCATGTTAAAGAAAGAGTATGTGGGACTAGGATGAAGGAAGTGGAGGCGTAAGAATTAGACTTCAGAATTTATACTGAAGCAGAAAGACGCGGCTGAACTGTGGGGAAAGACTGTAGGGACATTAAAGAAAATGAGCCAAGGATAGCTTCAAGGGTTGGGGTTTAAACAGAAGAAAGCATGGCGCTGCCACCACTTTCAGAGATGGCAGTGTGGGTTTTATAATGTGACTTCTGTCATTTGAGTTCCCAAATTACCTTGACAAATGCAAAACTTTATGTCAGAAATCAAGCAACAAGTCACAGCCCCTTAGCACGTGGAACCGAGTGACAGTGAAGGAAACTTGGTATTTCTCTTACTGCAGTGTAAGAAGTCAGCAACACTTAACATGCAAAGTAGCTGATAAGCCACTGCCCTTGTGTGTTACACTGAGTCCAGTCAGGCGCTACTTAGAAAAAAACATCACGGTGTCGGCACACTGCTGTTTCCGTCACTCTCCTATTGCTGTCAAAAGACACCATCAACAAGGCAACTTATAAAAGAAAGCATGTAATTGGGGGCTGGCTTGAGACTCAGAGGGTGAGTCCATGACCGGCATAGCCAGGAGCATGGCAGCTGACCAGCAGGGCATGGGGCAGCAGCTGAGAGCTCACACTGGAGCCACAAGTAGGAGGAGAGAAGCCCACCCAGTGACACGCCTCCACCCACAGGCCACACCCCCAACCCTTCCCACACAGTTCCAACCGGTGCCCGCATGAAACACCCGAGCCTAGGGGCCGTTCTCATTCAAACCCCACAACTAGAGGCTGAGCCCGACCACCCACACGGTTGTTTCAAGGAAAGAGTGCACTGAGTGAGGCTGGAGAAGTGCTTGGCACAAGCGCGTGAGGACCAGAGTCTGTCCTCAGCGCTCACAGAAAGGCAAGTTTACATGGGAAATGACACCTGTAAATCCCAGCATTGGAAAATTGAGACAGGAGGACTCCGGGGGCTTGCTGGCCAACCAGCTTCGTGTTCAATGAGAAATCCTGTCTCAAAAATAAAGTAGAAGGGCTTGAGAGATGGCTCTTTGGCTAAGAAAAAGTACTGTTCTTCCAGAAGACCCGAGTTCAATTCCTAGCACCCATGGCTGTCAGTTCACAAACTACCTCCAGTTTCAAGGATCCTCCAAGGCATCTGCACTTACTTGTGTACACTCATACACACACGCACACACACACACAGACACACACACAGACAGACATACACGCGCACACACACGCATCTGCACTTACTTGTGTACACTCATACACACACGCACACACAGACACACACACATCTGCACTTGTGTACACTCATATACACGCGCGCACACACAAACACACAGACACTAAATCAATCTTAAACAAAGCAGAAAGGGACAACAACTCGGAGGGTGAAAGTGCTACCCTGGTGACCCACAACCCTAGTATAAAGCCGGGTGCAGGGCACATCAGTAATCACAGCACTCCTACAGCGAGACAGGAGGCGTGGACCAGAGAACCAGAGTCGCACAGAAGCTAAAGGCCAGCTACCTTAGACTACAAAGCAAATGCTGCAAACAAGAAGACAGGCCTGCCTCAAAATAAGGTAGAAGAAAACTCATGCTGTAGCATAAGGGCATGGACTACAGGAGGGGAGGGGAGGGGAGGGGAGGGGAGGGGAAGGGAGGGGAGGGGAGGGGAGGAAGGGGACAGGAGGGGAGGGGAGGGGAGGGGAGGAAGGGGACAGGAGGGGAGGGGAGGGGAGGGGAGGAAGGG